CCCGCGGGCAGGAGGTCACGGGGCAGACCAAGGTGCCACGGGTCGACTGGCTGAGATGACTGGCTGATGCACCACCTGTGCCCCCTACTATGCCAACTTGCTGTGCTTTAGCCACCCGGCGCTCCGCTCGTTGTGAGCGTCGCTCTTCCACCCTCCATTGTTGTTGGAGGGCGACTGCCTCCAACTGCCCATTAGCGTCCTTCACGAACCTCCTCCACAGAGGCCGATCTTGACACCGCTGGTACCAGTCATCGGCAAGTCCACTCAGCTCCACGTCCTCCTGTACCACACACACACAAAGATCCCCAATATAGTCTTAACAAACTGTAGGGGCAAGTGCTGTTAGCGAGCACCTATGAAGGCCGGAACGGTACACGAGGGGGTGGGTGGCCAGCACCACGCCCGACCGCCTTTGTCTTCCTAGTGGCAATGTTTACACACCGCACCAGGTACTCATTTGAGGCTGAGTCGACCTAGGGGAGGCCCGGGACCGGTTCAGATAATCGTCACTGGTGTTGGCCGTGAGCGGGAATCGAACTCGGGTCGCCAGGTTCATAGCACAGCGCGCTAACCGCTACACTACGGCTCCTACACACACGCACGCACACACACACACACGCACACATACACACACACGCACATACACACAGTCGTGGGAGCACGCTCACTCTGGGCACTGCGAGCCCACGGCTGAGCGTTCCGGTGGGCGTGACGAGCGTGGGGGGCAGGAGAGGCGGTGCCAGCCCCCCCGCCCAGCCCCCCCGATGGTCAAAGCTACGAGTTGGGGGACCCCCCCCCCCCTCCCCCGACGACCACCACGAGCGATGTTATCGACAGCAGGGTGAAATAACAACGGCAACTTATTTAAGACGCCGTTCAAATTCATTTTCATGGAAATACTTCGCATGCACGTTGGACGTTTTATTTTTGTTTAATTAGAGCAGTCAGGTAATATTGCAAAGAGGAAACTACGACGGAGCTGTCCTGGCTGCATTTTGCGGAGTTAGAGCGCCCCTCCAGCGCTACGTGTTGGACACCGTGATCGCAACGACGATGTGATTAGGCGAGAGGAGCCGCGATGCTTCACAGCCTCTCGGAGCGACCGTGCGAGACACGTCACAAATTGGGGCCCCACCTGACCGATTGCCGCACGCCCTGAGATGATAATGTTCTTACTGCACCACGAGTCACGCACATGCTGAGGTGCAGGTCGGGTAGCTCGGATATACAAAGCACAACTTTCGCCAGGGATTCGCAGCCAATGTTATGATTCGTAATATAATTTGGGGTTAGGGGGCTAATAGCTAAATCGTCCTCCCCTCTCACCGGTGAGCGAGCTGCAGCCATCACGAGTGGCTCGTTAAACGCCTCTACACCCACGTGACAATTTAAGCTGTTTGGCTATGTTGGGTGGGGGCCGAACCCAACAGCAAACATCAACAATGCCGTGTGTGGTGCCACGACCACGGAGCAACTCCGCAACGGCCGCGGTCCCCTCCCGGCCCCCGCACTAAACACACGCCCGCACGCAGCGCACCCGCATCGGGTTTTAATCCGAAGGGCCCCTAGAGGGAGAGTCCCACGGTTTCCCGGTGCCAGGAGATTGGCCGACCCCCACAAGACAGGTTACATTGCGGTGCCCCTAAATTGTCTTAAAATTGTCTGGGCGCAGAAAGAAAAGGTTCCTTGGGCCAACCGCAATGAGTCACTCACGACATTGGTGGGAGGGCGTAGGGGGGAATATTAGGCAAAAAGAGCAGACCCGTAGACGAGAACTAATGGGCACGGGAGAACAATGGGTGGGCGGAGCAGCAGCACTCCCCCCTGGGAGAAGAAAATAAAGGAGCGGCAGCACAGGTAAGCGCCCGATTGGCTGCGTGGTACGACGTCACCCTGAGCCTTTGAAGTTTAGAGCATAAAAAGAGGAGCCAGGGGACGATTTCGCTCTCTTGGCTTCAACCTCCGGGCGGTCAAGACCCTCTCCCTGCCGCCCTGCCTCTTCAAGCCGCTCACAGCATCCGTGTGACGCCAGTGGGTGCTGCTGCGAGACAGTGATAGGTCAAGTCTCCCCTCGTCCTCCTCTCGCCGACTCTCTCAGCGTCCGTGGGACGCCGCAAGTCCAGCTTTGAGGTACGTGGTAGAACGTTTGTGTGACTTGGTTCATAGGCAGAGTTATACTAGGCTCTCCTCGCGAAATATTCCACCTCCAGGTAGTGTGTATTTGCGCTCTTAATCAACTTTAGTTCAGAGGATCGGTGCAGCGTGATTTCTGTGTATGTGTGTAGAACCTCGTCGCGATTTGTGTGTGCACGAGAGAGCGAGCGTGGGGCTGCAGCGTCGGTGCGGTGTTGGTCATTTGAGTGCGTGAGTCGCGCGTGTATTAAAACATACACGATCACCGGCGCTCGCGCGCGTTTACACAGCGACGATAACATTAACGGCGAGGCGCGTGCGCAATTTCGCGCAGCTCGTTAACGCTAGACTTGGTGTGCCGCGGATTAGAGCTTTACCCCCCGGGGGGTACGCGTGCATATTCATACTGCCGCCGTTTCTTGTCATTAGCGCCGGCCTTTGTGTAAAACAAGCGCCTGCAGGGGCGTGCGCGTGCACGCCACCGCGTTCGTTTTCGTGGTGGTGTACATGGGCGTGTGGGAGATAACCCCGGGCGGTGGTGAGCCAGCCGAGTAGCGATGTCCCTCAGAGAGGGCGCTGGCGCGGGGGGGCCGATCACCCGATCGGCGGGGGCGCGGCGAGAGGCGGCCGACGAGGAGGAGGGGGAGTGGAGGGGGTGGACGTCGCGCCCCACCTGCTCGCAGGGAGCGGGGAGGCGGGCGTTGGCCCCCACACGTGCACGTTCATGATATTTATTTTTACTGGAGGAAATCAGATGAGCTATAAAGCTCTTTTTTCACAGATGTGCGAGGAATGCGAAGTTTTTCTACCCGGCGCGTGGTTCCTTTGACCACCGCAGGCATTCATCTCTTCAATTTGACATAATAAGCCGTGATCTATCCGCTGCTGAATGAATGCCTTCCCTAGCCACGGCCATCCCACATGCTCACTCGATGTGACAATCCAGCCAGCATCCCGCACACGAGCTGACCTCACCGCTCCGTCTCCTCTCTGGAGGGTGCCCTCTCGGAAGCGTTCCGTCCCTTGGCCGTGGCTCCGTGACCACTCTTCACCATCGGCCGTCCCCGTGTAGCCGTGGCGCGTGCTGCCCAAACCACGCTCACTTTACTAAAGAGCCAACGGGATGTCTCTCACGCGAGGCAGACGAGAGGGGGTTGGAGCGGTTTAACAAATGTATCATGAAAAGCCACACAGCCAGCCTGCCTAAACAAGAACGGTTTTTGCTTTTCCTGATGCGACACGGATCAGAAACAGAGACATTGACAGAGAGAAAAAAACCCCGAAATAACGTCTCTAAAGCGTGGAGAAGTGCGCGATTGGAATGACCCTGAGAGCCAGAGAGATGGGAGCGCGCCGTCAGAGAGATAAACAAAAGCTAAGGCGAGGTTAATAACCACAGCTGTGGACAGCCGATTCTGTACACGACGTGAGGGCGCTTCAATTGTGTGAGTTGGCGATGTTGTTGATGGGAAACAATCGTTGAGTCGCCACTCGCTGCAACCCTCCGGGGAAGTTGCGCGAATCGGGGAAAGGAAGTCGCCCCCTTCCCACTCATCGGGACCTCACTAACGTCCCACGCCATCGCTCGAAGTCACTCCAAGTAATTTTGAACCCATGCGCTTAACCTTCAAATATGCGAGTTCAACCCTCGATGAAGCCAGGAGAGCTTCATCGCCTTGTTGTGAAAGACCCAACGCGAAAGATCCCTCAGTTTGATCTTCCACGAATCTCACTCCACGAATCTCACTGCACAAACCACGGCAGTAGATGGGGATACCTGATGCACAGATGCAATATCTATTTTTTTTAAACTCTCCAGTAGCAGTGTGCGACTGTGGTGGTCATCCAGAACAGACCGTACCGCGTGTGACGACACAATGCCCAATCCACAAATAAGGAGGAGACATCACAGCGATGATGATACTCCTCCACTCCACTACTCCTGACGCGGTGATCTGCTGGCTCGACCACCTGAATGTGAGATCGTAGTGGCGTTGCTCTGCATCTACACCAGCAGCCGCACGACAAGCAGAAGGATAATTTTGACTTAAAACTTTCGTGACTGCAGGAATTCATATTCTTTGCTTCTTTCGGTAAAGTCACGTAGATAGAAAATTTTGAAGCAAATAAAATAAAAAAATAAAAACGACGTTTCGATCACATGACGATCGCTTGTGTTGTGATCGAAACGTCGTAGTTTTTCGGGTCGTAGTTTTTAGGGGTTTTTTTTCATTTTATTTACTTTAATTTGTTCAATCTACGTGCCAAGGGGTTTGCCCCCTCGGAGCGCCGCGGGCACTCTTCTCTCGGCTCGGCCTGCCCACCGCTTCACCGATCGCTGCACCTTCCACGGCTGTTTCATCCCGTGCCTGCTGAACGTTACCCCCCACCCCCAACGCCTGACACGCACGCCCCCCTCCCCACCCTCCCCACCCCTCCCCACCCCTCCCCACTTTCCCCACCCCTCCCCACCCTCCCCACCCCTCCCCACCCTCCCCACCCTCCCCACCCCTCCCCCCTCTCCCCACCCCTCCCCACCCCTCCCCACCCCTCCCCACCCTCCCCACTCTCCCCCCCCTCCCCACCCCTCCCCACCCCTCCCCACTTTCCCCACCCCTCCCCACCCTCCCCACCCCTCCCCACCCCTCCCACCCTCCCCACCCCTCCCCACCCTCCCCACCCCTCCCCACCCTCCCCACCCCTCCCCACCCCTCCCCACCCCTCCCCACTCTCCCCCCCCTCCCTACCCTCCCTACCCCTCCCCACCCTCCCCACCCCTCCCCACCCTCCCCACCCCTCCCCACCCTCCCCACCCCTCCCCACCCCAGCCGTCTGCGTTATCGATTCGTGCCTCCGAGAAAGAATCGCGCAGCAGGCTGCGGCCATAGCCCACGTCACGTGCTTCTGCCGGCTGCTGGGCAGCAGGGAAGGGCTGCCCGGGGCGACGACGTCGTTGGCGCGTCCAGCCTCGTCACGCGTCGCCCGCATGAGCGTCAGGCCTCTCGTGACCGCAGCGGGTCGCCCACGTGATGTCCGACGTTTCGCTCCGTACGTGTGTATGTGTGTATGCGGTTCATACCCCGGTCGGAGGAAGGGGGGGGTGCAGGCTGAGGCATGGAAACCGTGCAGGAGGAATGTTGAATATGTGCAGGAAATGTCATCGTCACATTGCGGTGACAACACGCACTACTACACAACATGAAACACGTACCCTACTAACACAGAACACACAAATACACAACGTGAAACACGTACCCTACTAACACAGAACACACCAATACACAACGTGAAACACGTACCTTACTAACACAGAACACACAAATACACAACATGAAACACGTACCCTACTAACACAGAACACACCAATACACAACGTGAAACACGTACCCTACTAACACAGAACACACCAATACACAACGTGAAACACGTGCCCTACTAACACAGAACACACCAATACACAACGTGAAAGACGTACCCTACTAACACAGAACACACCAATACACAACGTGAAACACGTACCCTACTAACACAGAACACACCAATACACAACGTGAAACACGTGCCTTACTAACACAGAACACACCAATACACAACATGAAACACGTACCCTACTAACACAGAACACACCAATACACAACATGAAACACGTACCCTACTAACACAGAACACCAATACACAACATGAAACACGTACCATACTAACACAGAACACACCAATACACAACGTGAAACACGTACCATACTAACACAGAACACACCAATACACAACGTGAAACACGTACCATACTAACACAGAACACACCAATACACAACGTGAAACACGTACCCTACTAACACAGAACACACCAATACACAACGTGAAACACGTACCCTACTAACACAGAACACACCAATACACAACGTGAAACACGTGCCCTACTAACACAGAACACACCAATACACAACGTGAAACACGTACCCTACTAACACAGAACACACCAATACACAACGTGAAACACGTACCCTACTAACACAGAACACACCAATACACAACGTGAAACACGTGCCCTACTAACACAGAACACACCAATACACAACGTGAAACACGTACCCTACTAACACAGAACACACCAATACACAACGTGAAACACGTACCCTACTAACACAGAACACACCAATACACAACGTGAAACACGTGCCTTACTAACACAGAACACACCAATACACAACATGAAACACGTACCCTACTAACACAGAACACACCAATACACAACATGAAACACGTACCCTACTAACACAGAACACCAATACACAACATGAAACACGTACCATACTAACACAGAACACACCAATACACAACGTGAAACAAGTACCATACTAACACAGAACACACCAATACACAACGTGAAACACGTACCATACTAACACAGAACACACCAATACACAACATGAAACACGTACCCTACTAACACAGAATACACCAATACACAACGTGAAACAGGCGCCTTACTAACACAGAACACACCAATACACAACATGAAACACGTACCCTACTAACACAGAACACACCAATACACAACGTGAAACACGTACCATACTAACACAGAATACACCAATACACAACGTGAAACAGGCGCCTTACTAACACAGAACACACCAATACACAACATGAAACACGTACCCTACTAACACAGAACACACCAATACACAACGTGAAACACGTGCCTTACTAATACAGAACACACTACTACACAACATGAAACACGTACCCTACTAACACAGAACACACCAATACACAACGTGAAACACGTACCCTACTAACACAGAACACACCAATACACAACATGAAACACGTACCCTACTAAGACAGAACACACCAATACACAACGTGAAACACGTGCCTTACTAACACAGAACACACCAATACACAACGTGAAACAGGCGCCTTACTAACACGGAACACAGCAATACACAACGTGAAACACGTGCCTTACTAACACGGAACACACCGATACATAACGTGAAACATGTACCCTACTAACACAGAACACACCAATACACAACATGAAAAACGTACCCTACTAACACAGAACACACCAATACACAACATGAAACACGTACCCTACTAACACAGAACACACCAATACACAACGTGAAACACGTACCTTACTAACACAGAACACACCAATACACAACATGAAACACGTACCCTACTAACACAGAACACACCAATACACAACATGAAACACGTACCCTACTAACACAGAACACACCAATACACAACGTGAAACACGTACCCTACTAACACAGAACACACCAATACACAACGTGAAACACGTGCGTTACTAACACAGAACACACCAATACACAACATGAAACACGTACCCTACTAACACAGAACACACCAATACACAACATGAAACCCGTACCCTACTAACACAGAACACACCAATACACGTGATACACGTACCCTACTAACACAGAACACACCAATACACAACGTGAAACACGTGCCATACTAACACAGAACACAGAAATACACAACGTGAAACACGTACCCTGCTAACACAGAACACACCAATACACAACGTGAAACACGTGCCTTACTAACACAGAACACACCAATACACGTGAAACAGGCGCCTTACGAACACGGAAAACAGCAATACACAACGTGAAACACGTGCCTTACTAACACGGAACACACCGATACATAACGTGAAACACGTACCCTACTAACACAGAACACACCAATACACAACATGAAACACGTACCCTACTAACACAGAACACACCAATACACAACATGAAACACGTACCCTACTAACACAGAACACACCAATACACAACATGAAACACGTACCCTACTAACACAGAACACACCAATACACAACATGAAACACGTACCCTACTAACACAGAACACACCAATACACAACATGAAACACGTACCCTACTAACACAGAACACACCAATACACAACATGAAACACGTACCCTACTAACACAGAACACACCAATACACAACATGAAACACGTACCCTACTAACACAGAACACACCAATACACAACATGAAACACGTACCCTACTAACACAGAACACACCAATACACAATATGAAACACGTACCCTACTAACACAGAACACACCAATACACAATGTGAAACACGTACCCTACGAACATAGAACACACCAATACACAACATGAAACACGTACCCCACTAACACAGAACACACCAATACACAACATGAAACACGTACCCTACTAACACAGAACACACCAATACACAACATGAAACATGTACCCTACTAACACAGAACACACCAATACACAACGTGAAACACGTACCTTACTAACACAGAACACACCAATACACAACATGAAACACGTACCCTACTAACACAGAACACACCAATACACAACATGAAACACGTACCCTACTAACACAGAACACACCAATACACAACGTGAAACACGTACCCTACTAACACAGAACACACCAATACACAACGTGAAACACGTGCGTTACTAACACAGAACACACCAATACACAACATGAAACACGTACCCTACTAACACAGAACACACCAATACACAACATGAAACACGTACCCTACTAACACAGAACACACCAATACACAACGTGATACACGTACCCTACTAACACAGAACACACCAATACACAACGTGAAACACGTGTCATACTAACACAGAACACAGAAATACACAACGTGAAACACGTACCCTGCTAACACAGAACACACCAATACACAACGTGAAACACGTGCCTTACTAACACAGAACACACCAATACACAACGTGAAACAGGCGCCTTACGAACACGGAAAACAGCAATACACAACGTGAAACACGTGCCTTACTAACACGGAACACACCGATACATAACGTGAAACACGTACCCTACTAACACAGAACACACCAATACACAACATGAAACACGTACCCTACTAACACAGAACACACCAATACACAACATGAAACACGTACCCTACTAACACAGAACACACCAATACACAATATGAAACACGTACCCTACTAACACAGAACACACCAATACACAACGTGAAACAGGCGCCTTACTAACACAGAACACACCAATACACAACGTGAAACACGTACCCTACTAACACAGAACACACCAATACACAACGTGAAACACGTGCCCTACTAACACAGAACACACCAATACACAACGTGAAACACGTACCCTACTAACACAGAACACACCAATACACAACGTGAAACACGTGCCTTACTAACACAGAACACACCAATACACAACATGAAACACGTACCCTACTAACACAGAACACATTACTACACAACATGAAACACGTACCCTAACACAGAACACACCAATACACAACGTGAAACACGTACCCTACTAACACAGAACACACCAATACACAACATGAAACACGTACCCTACTAACACAGAACACACCAATACACAACGTGAAACACGTGCCTTACTAACACAGAACACACCAATACACAACATGAAACACGTACCCTACTAACACAGAACACATTACTACACAACATGAAACACGTACCCTAACACAGAACACACCAATACACAACGTGAAACACGTACCCTACTAACACAGAACACACCAATACACAACATGAAACACGTACCCTACTAACACAGAACACACCAATACACAACATGAAACACGTACCCTACTAACACAGAACACACCAATACACAACGTGAAACACGTACCTTACTAACACAGAACACACCAATACACAACATGAAACACGTACCCTACTAACACAGAACACACCAATACACAACATGAAACACGTACCCTACTAACACAGAACACACCAATACACAACGTGAAACACGTACCCTACTAACACAGAACACACCAATACACAACGTGAAACACGTGCGTTACTAACACAGAACACACCAATACACAACATGAAACACGTACCCTACTAACACAGAACACACCAATACACAACGTGATACATGTACCCTACTAACATAGAACACACCAATACACAACGTGAAACACGTACCATACTAACACAG